CATTCAAACACAATCCAACACCCTATGGCTGGTTACACATACACAAGATCCCCATTATTGCCCTAGCAGACTTTTGATGCAAGTGCTGTTAGCGAGCACCGATTTATTACGGCACGGTACACACCTCCAACTAGCACAGTTGCCTCCGTACCGTGCAGAAGAAGTTCAACATGCATACACGTGGTCCGTGACCAGCACCACGCCTAACCGGCTTTGTCTCCCCAGTAGCACCGGATACTCAATTGAGGTTGAGTTGCCCTAGGGGAGGCCCAGGACTGGTTCAGATCATCGTCACTGGTGTTCGCCGTGAGTGGGAATTGAACACAGGTTACTAGGTTCGTAGGGCAGTGCGCTAACTTCCACGCCACCGCTCCTCAAACACACATACTGTACTCGCACAGAAACTCAAGGGACATTTCACTGGGTTTATTTTTTGTCTAAATCGGTGTACAGGGTATTTTTAGTTAGTTTCCCGTCTAATTCAACGTAAAGTCCAGGTATTTATGCAACCATCTGCTGGTCTGTAATTAATATACATACTAAATATACACTGATAATTATTTTAACACGTAGGCTTTCGCGACCATTGACTGATAATTATGTTAACTGTTTGACTAAACTACCTCGATAGCTTATATAATAACAATAATAATAAAACCACTTTAGCAAATGTAACCCAACGTCAATGATATCCCCAAAATGCTGAGTGCGTTTCCCACTTTGCTTGAATGGGAATTTGCACGGGAAACAACAACACCACTGCTGACCCCAGTGTGCTGAGAGCCTTAATGACAGATACCCTTAGTTCATTTCAGTTCTCATTCTCATAGCGTGCACCGCGTCAACAAATTGAAGGTGAGGCTCCCTGCGTTTACGTGCTCATGCCATCGCTGGCAGAACAGCCTCCGCTAGAGGGGCCTCACTCCGGAGGATATTTGGGCCTCCACTTCCATGCTGCCAGAATGTCTTGGAAGAGATGCGAGTACCCACACTGTAGCCCACCGGATGTGACCTTCTGATCGACTGACTCCGAGGCATCCATGTTTGCAGCTGGATGGACACAGGCAGTGGTGGTGGGGGGGAGGTTGATTTAATAAACCGGCCCCATTGTTTCAACTGCAGCGCAGGGAGATCGACGAGGCGACCTCTGGGTTACAAGTCCTGCATGCCGACCGTCGTACTAAGGCGGCTGCTCATTGCATCACATATTCACTTTTAAATTATTAGCGCCGTTGGCTACATACAGTACGATATAAGTGGAACATATATACATAGACATCGTGGATTTAAATGCACGCTGCATTGCTGCAACAATGACTATTTGAAATGTAGGTCAAACATTCCACCTTGGAGCAGTCGAATATTTTTACGGGAACAAAAGTGCAGGTCTACACATGATTGACAGCATTTTGATAAAATAACAATTCTTGTTCCTTGCTGCCAATGACAAATACATCAGTACAGGACAGATATTTTCTCAAACAGAGCAAGGTATTTAAATATTTGCAATATTAATCATGCACTTCATTGTGGGAAGCCTCAACAATAATTTGCATGCTGAATTGGGAACTTCAATGTGTACGGCAGACTGCCTTAACTTCTCCTCTAAAAAAAGACACTGTGACAGATAACCGTCTTTTTTAAGCTCTTGGACATAATTAGTTCCAGAGAAAGTAAACTTGTTGCTTCCAAGCTTTCCAGATTCTTCCAATACACATAGACACAACACAGTGGAACTCCTCTTAGCTGTGGTCATATTACCTGCTATTCCTATTATCCATGGGATGCATGTTCCGTGCAGCATACATTACGTGCCCCCATTATTCCCATTATCCACAATTATCACCCTTGTTTAACCAATTCCGATGAGTTCCATCGGCAATTTATTTTTTGTCTAAATCGGTGTACAGGGTATTTTTAGTTAGTTTCCCGTCTAATTCATCGTAAAGTTCAGGTATTTGTGCAACCATCTGCTGGTCTGTAATTAATATACACACTAAATATACACTGATAATTATTTTAACACGTAGGTTTTCGCGACCATTGACTGATAATTATGTTAACTGTTTGACTATAACTACCTCGAGAGCTTATATAATAATAATGATTATAATAATGATGACTGACTGCTTTTCAAAAATATACTGCTGGATGTATGCCTCCCAATGCCACGTTGTTCATGGGCATGGTTTGGCCATACTTCACCAGAGATTGGTTCAGATATCACTCGTCACCGATGCTAGGCACCAGCCAGAAATTGAATTCAAGCAGCCAACTTCATCGCGCAGTGTGCTTCCCTCACCTTCTATATTAAACAACAATTATCATTATTTACGCCATTTGTCAAGTAATGCCTCCCAATATCGTGTACGTTGTGGGTCTTGCTTGGCCGCACTTAATCCCACTGGTCAGTGTCAAACCGCACTGACCACCGCCTATATAATGCGCAATTTTAATCTCAAAGGAAATAAGGATGACACACGCTTGGCAGGTATTGCTGGGAGGGAATAATAAATATAAAGACCAGCCAGGGTTGGGAAACGCTTCGTGAATCAAAGTGCTTCTTGGTTTCCAGTCGCTCCCATCGCGGCTCCCGCACAGCACCGCTGTCACCGATGCACATCACACACAGCGGTGGCGGCGGCAGTGCCAGCGGCGTTATCTGGCTCTCCAGTTCCCATAGACATCCCGTGGAATGCTAAGGCCCTCCCCGTTATATAAGAGCGTTCTGCGAAAGCTCGCCTGCCCCCGAGCGTAAAGCGCTAAACTAAGTTCATTTACGCGCATTCCACGTGCTCGCGTACGTCTACGAAGACGCACACACATGCACAAAGACACACGCACACACATGCACAAAGACACACAAAGATAAAGATCCCCCATATAGCCTTAACAGACTGTAGGGGCAAGTGCTGTTAGCGAGCACCTATGAAGGCCGGAACGGTACACGAGGGGGTGGGTGGCCAGCACCATGCCCGACCGCCTTTGTCTCCCTAGTGGCAATGTTTACACACCGCACCAGGTACTCATTTGAGGCTGAGTTGACCTAGGGGAGGCCCGGGACCGGTTCAGATAATCGCCGGGAATCGAACCCGGGTCGCCAGGTTCATAGCGCAGCGTAGCGCTAACCGCTACACTATCGCTCCACAAAGACACACGCACACACATGCACACAGACACACGCACACACATGCACAACGACACACGCACACGCATGCACAAAGACACACGCACACACGTGCACACACGTGCATGCTTAGACACTCCCTCCCGTCTCTCTTTTGCACGCGATCTCCCACACAAAGACCCTATCCACCCCCCACAGTTCACCTTGTAGCCTGCTGGGGTACGCGTCGTTAGTGAGCACCGACTAAGGGCCAATATGCCGCAATAAAGATTCCGATTCTGAAGATTCTGACTCTGGTGCAGCCGCATCAAAGCTGCCTTTTGCCTCCCCGGTGCTGATATGTGTACGTCATGAGTCTTCAATTTGGGCCGAGTCAGCCTAGTAGAGGACCAGCCGCGGTTCATATTACAGATTATTGTACCCATTGTGGCTGGTACGTATTGTGCACGGCCAGGGATTTAAACTGGGTCATCGACATTGCAATGGAGGGTTTTAACTACTCCGTCTGCACAAACACAGAGATACTCCGTTTATCGACAGAAGCTATAGAACCAAAGAAACAACAAAGATCACCCCCATAGCCTTAACAGACTCTTGGGGCAAGTGCTGTTTGTGAGCATCTATGAAGACCAGCATGGGAGACACCGGGGCGGGTGGCCAACACCACGCCCGACCGCCTTTATCTCTCAAGAGAGTTGTTTACAGCCCACACCATGTACTAATACGATGGCTGAGTCGACCTACGGGAAGCTCAGAACCGGTTCAGATAACCATCAGTGGTGTTGGCCGTGAATCGAACTCAGGTCGACGAGTACGTCGTTCAGCACCTTAACCACTGCGCCGCCGCTCCCCACAACGAGAGACACACACGGCCACTCTCTGGTCTGTGTGTGTGTGTGAGCGATAATGTAGCGGTTAGCGCGCTGCGCTATGAACCTGGCGACTCGGGTTCGATTCCCGCTCACGGCCAACACCAGTGACGATTATCTGAACCGGTCCCGGGCCTCCCCTAGGTCGACTCAGCCTCAAATGAGTACCTGGTGCGGTGTGTAAACATTGCCACTAGGGAGACAAAGGCGGTCGGGCGTGGTGCTGGCCACCCACCCCCTCGTGTACCGATCCGGCCTTCATAGGTGCTCGCTAACAGCACTTGCCCCTACAGTCTGTTATGGCTATACGGGGGATCTTTGTCTTTGTCATTCTCTCACACGAACGCACGTGCGCACACGGACAGCAAGGTTGGTCTTTGGGGGGAGGTTCACAAAACAAAATCACAAAGCCCTTATCCGTTATCCTCCCAGCGTTTGACCCCAGGAGATCAGGAATGAATGAACACATCACTACTGTCACTGAGGAACGACAGCACATTACATCAGTGTGGAGCAACACACCCTCCGGAATATAATAAACACGCAATTAACCAGAGACTATCTGGGAAATAGCGGAGCACTTTCATGAGACAAGCCCATTAAACATTAATCATTCAAAGAGGATTCATTTTTAATAATGCAACCTTGTTAACAAACAATTTGTAAACGATACGATGTGCACTTAGCGAGGGATCTTAAAAGTACCGCAATTAATTTCAAAAGTGGAGTATTGCAGCGAGAATTTCAACGGTGCACTTGAGACAAGCCAAAGTGGTTTATGCTGCTCAAATGACTTCCGAACAGCCTTCAGTCAGACGATGCAATTCTGCATCGCAACAAATTAGAGTCCATCTATAGGACAGCCGCTGCAGTTACACTAAGTACAGCAATGTTGAATTAGCTGCATGCAACACACACTTGCTTGTAATACAGCGGTTCGGTTACACCGAGTGCATGCAATTGCCGTGCGGCAAAAAGAGATGAACGTGTGGCGCAGCCCTTACCTGTCGAGGTGCCAATTTATGACAGCGGTGAAAGAATTTCAAGTTGCAGACCGACTTTAGCGGCCGGTTAAAGGCACGGCCAGCGACCCATAATGGTCTTTTGGCCAACGCCTCTCAGCTGACGGTAGCCTGAGAGCGGAAGCGTCACCCGACAGCATTAAAAATCCCTGCTACAGAGCCGGCGAGGGGCTCCTTCGGCGGAGTCAAAGACACTCCCGTGGATTGGAACCCCCCTGCCCACGCTACACTGTAGACTCGCTGCAGGCTTTGGAAAATGACAAGAGAAACTGAGGAGGGAGAGAGGAGGGGGGGGTAGGAGGAGGGTGTGTTGGGAGAGGGAGGGTGAGCAAGCGGCGGGGAGGGGCCGAGTAAAAGTGGAGTGAGTTAGGATTTTGGCTCGAGGGCAAGTGAAGGCGAGAGAGGGAGCCAGCGCTGCGCATAGAGAGAGAGAGATCGGAACGAGCGAGAGCGCGCGCGAGGGAGATTCAGACAAAAAATTGAGACAGCAATTCAGAGTGAGCGCTGGCAGAAGGCTTTTCCAGATGTGCGAGTTCCATGACATGCTGCCTTTTCTCCCGTGGCCTGCTTTCGCTTGCTCGCCATAAAAAAAATGCTCGCTCGCTCTCTCTCTCTCGTCCCCGGCTCCTTGCGTAATTTATTTATTTTATACAGTGCCACGGGGGCTGATCACCAGCTGGAACTGCTCGCCGTAATTCTCAAATCTTAACGGCACAGAAAATAAACAGGGGTAGGGCGGCTACATTTACAGCACATTTGTTTGGCATCGATGATTAGACGGGTTGCATGGCACCACCTACGAAGCATTAACGGCTGGGGTCTGCCTTCGTGGCCGTTGACACTGGCACCAACCCCAGAGTGTTGATTCTCGCCGCCTTTCAATCCAAGGCAACAGAAAACAGCTTCTCGCTTCTTCTTGTTGGTATTCCAAATATTATCTCTCACTCCTTGTGTCTCAACACATATATTTTTTGGGGCCAGAAGCTCCAGCCTAATCGCTAAAGAATGCATAAATGGAGCTGGGGGTTAAGCTAATATTATTTATTGAACAAAAAAAATGTTTACCCGAGCGGAAAGTGACGGCGGTGGCAGGACTTCTGAATTAAGGGTTAGAAATGAAAGAGTTAAATTACGCGCGTGAAGCCGTCCCACGGTGAGGCATACTGGCTCCGGCACTATGAATACGGAGATCACGCTACTGGCCTGGGGGGAGTGTCATTCGATGCAGCTCTAGCCACCCCCCCCCCCTTCAGAAAGAGAAGAGGACCACCCAATGCTCACTTGGGAATGGGGACACCTTGACATTTCAAAACAAATAAGACTCCGTCACAAAGAAGGAGTGGCTGCAATAGTGTAACGGTTCGCGCACTCGACTTGAAATCGTCGCTGGTTCGGTCCCCGGTTCGATTTCCCGGCGCGGTAATTGAAACAAGGGTGCCAGTTTCTTAGACCCCCCTCCGCCTACGTCCACCCAGCAGTGTCAACAGGGTCACAACTGCAGGTCACGTGCCATTGGGTAAATTGCAAGTCCTCCCACCTCTTCCAAAGACATCTTGCCAGAATGGAAGAGTAGGTCAATTACCCTCAATATAGGGGATCTCTTAAGCTCCCTCGAGTGGATGCCCTTCCACCGGCATTGACCGGAGAAGGAAATTGCACGGCAGCACCTTTATCTGAATCTATAAAAGAGTGGAATAGAGCTCAGCAAGCCTCCCAATGGAGGGGTTAAAACGTTCAAATCCTACCTTTGGTTCACTCAGCCAGTCATCCCCCCGTGAAATGATCACCACCTGGTGATAATGTACCACTTAGTGACAATTAGCGGTGATTGTGGTAGGGAATCATAATACTACGATAATAGTTCATTACCTGTGATATTCGTGCCACTTTTATAGCTCAAGGCTCTGACGATGACGCTACGTTTCGTAGTGATATAGTCTGTCCGTAACGGGCGATGTTGTTTTGTGTTTTTTTGCCAAGTCAAGTAATTAATTACTGGTCACTGATGGAGTAATGTGGAATTTTCACTGCTGGCTAAGGACCGATTAAAGATATTAACACTGCCCAGTGCTTGGCTGAACATAGGGGCACGTAACTTTAGTAAACAAATAATGAACAGGTATATAAATAGTGCAAATATTTAACCGTGCCATTCACTTTGACTGTACTTCCTAAAACAAATATTTACTTTGACAGTTTGGCAAAAAAAACGACTGCCCTTTACAGCAAACATTTCCAAAATAATAAGCTGCCACGTAAAAAATGCTAAATGCAACAGACTGAGTAAATAAATGATAGCTATCAGCTGTTGGTGAGCGCTAAACATGCCCAGAGGCTATTCACTCTGCCAGAAAAATCCTGTGCCAGTTCTGGAGCACATCCAATGATCACAGTCATGTAGAGGATACGAGGAATGTCTGTGGTGTCCGTGGAGGTGCAATCGCTGGAAAAAAAGCGGCTATCTTTCGCATTTTTGGCATGGAACAAGTGTACCGGCTTAACGAGCGCTTCAGCCTCCAAGATGTTGCATTCGGAGAATAACTCTTTATACGCATTTATAACGTCATTAGAATATGCTCCGTGGGCGCAGCGTAAACAGAAGTTGTCGGGGATTATTTTTTTCGGCCCGAGCATTAAAGCTCTGTGTGTGGCCACTAAAGTGTGTTCATACTCTTTGTTTTTTTTTTAAAGTGTGTTCGTCTGTTATTTTACAGACTTTACACGGCACAATCAATAGCCGGTAGGGGCATGTGCAAAGCTCATGGTGCTGACAATAAGAGGCTCGAGATGTAAACAGACCAGAATTATTACATTAACAGCAACAAGTCATCCTCCAATATGTTATTAATTTCAGGAACATCTTCAAAGCAAAACGATAGAGCTTAGCGGTTAGAGTACTGTGCTACGAGTCCTCAAACTTTCGCAACTCTTAAAAATTCCCTTTTCACACCATCAATAGGTAAACTCCCCCTCCCCCCCCGCGCCAACCGGCATGTTCACCCGCATGTACACCACCTCTACACCGTTCATCATGCTAAGTCGGCCAATCAAATGCTAATTTTTATACTAATTCCTTTGTCAAGGCACCTTGTTTCCTCGCACACAGCTTAAAGGTCGCGGTCTGAGCGTTGCTGTGTTTCACTCCAGCGCTGTCCTCGAGACAGCCTGGTCCCTTCACCTGATGAAGGCCGCTTGTGTTGTGGCCGAAACGTCGTGATTTTTGTTGTTTTATTTTTTACCTACGTGACTTTACCGAATAGAACCAAAGAGTATGGACCCTTGCAGTCACGAAAGCTTTAAATCTAGAATTGAGTCCTCACAAGCCGAGTTCAATTCTTGGGCATGGCTTATATCCGCAGTGAGTGAAATTTGAACTGCTCCTGCCTCACTCCCCCCCAAACCTCACTCACCCACGGCATCGGGAGACCTTCATCCGGCAGTGGACTGACAAAGGGTTGACAATTATATTGCATTTAATACGTACTGCATACATCCATATTTATGAATCTGTCTGTCCACCTGTATGTCTTACATTTCTATAGAATTACAAATAATTGTTATCTAATTGTAACCAGAATGACCGTCTGGAGGTTACGGAGCAATACAATGATTGCTCGACCTTCAATGAATCCAATATTTGCGTGAGAAAGAGTTAACCGCATTAAAAGTTTACACAACCCTCTCTGTGGCTTCCTGGAATTGCAACTTTAAGCAAGTCATTTATTGAATGACGATGAGTTAGAGCCCTCCGTTTAAATTTTGGAAGGTTGTGGATTCACATCCCATAATTTCTGTTGGTTAGATAAACTAAGTACCATTTTGTGTAAGGTCAACAATGGTGATCACGTGGAGGAATTGGTCACCCTCATGGGAATGTAAATTTCCAGCATCGGCTCAGGAATCCGATGACGCTCATCATTTGGGCATGAAGACACTTTGCCTTGAGTTCGACTATGACACTGTTGGCTCGAAATGTGCGTCAATTTTAACTGCAGAGAGTGAAAAAGTATCGGCTGTGAAGCGTCTATCAGCTCCTATCCATGACCAGTAAGCTGCTAATTCCTCTGTTCTGCAAGTCACACGTAGTGAGAGAAAGGAACAGGAATTGAGATCATGCTGCAATTAATTTCTCTAATAAGGCTCAATGTTCCTGCAGAACGAAATTACTACAAGTCTCTGAAAAAAAGTGGAAACTGAGTAAGAGGCTGAGCGAGAAAGAGAGAACGCATGAGGAAATAATTATACCTCGAAGCATATATGCACTTATTAAAATTCAAAGTCAAAGTGTCCCCCATCCTCAAATGAGTGTTGAGTGGTGCTCATTTACATCAGTTGTGCTGGCTCATTCTACATTCATATGACGGGGCCCATAACTCTATTGGACAACCACGGTTTAACTTTTCACCAGGCGATGCTCATCTTCACTGACCTCATATGGATCTGAACTCATGACCGTATTGTTGCGAGTCTTGTTGCTCGTGGCCCATCTATGTAACCATCTCTTGATAAATTGAGCATCAATGATCTATCGACTGCCAGATGAAGACCGCCCCGAGCCATCGTCATCGCGCATGGCCTTGAGATATTACGATGTGCACTCGAGGTTGCATCGAGTATCCGTCTGACAGAGGGGTGCTGTGGTTAGAGTGCTGAACTCACGGTTGTATGGATTGCGAGGAGTTGTAATCTAAATTGTAAATTAACCGGGCCGATCGTTCTCCAGGAAATGAACAGTGTTTGCCCTTTTGGGAGGCTGCCGTAGGAACGTGCAATTTTCACGAGTGTGTCACAACTGATAACTGAGATGAGCACCTATCCACACTCATTTATCCACACTCATTTACCCAGGGAGAAACATTGGCTTTGGATTTTACATGTTATGGAGCATGTTTATTTGGAAATGCTGCGGTGTAACGGTTTGCACACTGGGCTTGCAATCCAGAAGTCGCCAGTTCGATTCGATCACTCGGCGTTGGCAGTTGAAACAATGGGGCGAGTTTTATGTTATCCCCCCCCCGCTCCCTCTTATAATAATACAAATTGTAACGCGCGCAAATTTGCGGACGGAACGGCCGCAACTCAGAGGCGCGGAGCAAAGTTCAGAGTCACTCGAAAGTCAGGTCGTAGAGGTGAGTTTTTAAGCGTCTCTTGAAGGAGACGACTGAGGTGATACTGCCAATGTGCAGAGGGGATGGATGGCGTTCCAGACTGTAGGGGCAGCCACCGAGAAGCGGCGCATAGCCGTGACCGTCCTGGATCTTGGTATCGGCACGAGGTCGTGAGTCGCACTTCGAAGGCAATTGCCGCGTGCTGTGCTGCTAGTCGTCACTAGTGAAGAGAGCTACGGGGGGCAGCCAGATGCGAAGGCGCCGGTGGCAGAGGCAGGCGATGTTGTACGTGAGCCTGCTGGCAATGGTGAGCCAGTGGAGGGCGCGGAGAGAGGCAAATGAGTCGAGCCGAGAATGAGCACGCCCATCAGTGTGAATGTGTTCACCACGGTAAGCAGTGAGTCAATCGGCAGGTCCTGTGTGGTGGAGTAAAGTGTGGGTACTCCCACGTCTCTTGAGATATCTGTCCAGTGTGTTAGAGTAGGCCAGGTACTCTCTTTAGAGCCCCTTCTTGTGGAGACCCTTCTGCATCTATGAAAAAGGGCTTTACAGTTCATCGGATTCCTCCAGTATATATACATATTCTGATTACGCATATATTACTGCATACAGTATATTAAAATCCACTTATGTCTGTGAGATATTACAACATTAGCTGTCTTAAAATGGCATTTGTGTATTATATTACAATTGGATAACCACCTCATTTATAATTGCACTACGTTATGTTGATGGGAAAAAAGTGGCCGTTATGTAAGACATTATATGGAGCCTGGCAGTTTTTCATTACAATAATTAATACAGCATGCAACTGCAGGGCGTGCATACTTTCCACAAAGCGCAAGCCGCCAAGCAAGCAATGTCCGATTTTTTAATCATCTGTGAAAGAAAACTATTATAGCCGGCAAAAAAAAAATCATATAATAATCAGGAAAAGTACAGGACAGGAGATTTAAACGAAAGATAAAAGCCACAAGTTCCCTTTACAGGAGCGAGTCACGCCAACAAAGGAACTCCTGACCCCGATATTTTATCCGTTCACCATGTGAGCCTATGCGGGCCCCCGTGAGCAAGGGAGCTGGCAAAAGGTCCCATTCATGCAATCACACTGGGGGAGGCGGTGGCCGTGACTATGGATTGGTGTGTAAAAGGGCGCTGTGTGGGGAGCCGCGCGACTGTTTCTTGATGGTTTGGCACAGAGCCACCTTGTGCGAAAATCATCGTCCTGCTGCCTCACCCACCCAGCCAACGCCGCGGGTGATGTTGGATCCAGAGCCACTGGTGGGGGGGGGACTAGGGCCCGTTGTTTCTGTGCGTCGATCATGAACTAAACTATTTTTGTTTATTTTACCAGGTGAGGCCAACTGAGCTACAGTTTTTGACCTGGTCACAAATGCTAGCTCAACGAAGTGACTTATCACGTGGAAATGTACAGCACACAAACACTCTGAAGGCACGTTGATTCTAATTGGAGAAAAAAAACCCGACGGACCTGGATAAAAAAAATCCACGCGACCACGGGGAGAACGGGAAAACTCCAAATATACGGGCATCACGGTCGAGATCGAACCTACGACCTCCTGCATACAAGGTGAGGTAGTTAACATTAGGCGAGGGAGGATTTAACCATATGTCATCACGGCGGTGAGTGTGGATTTGTGAAGGCAGCACATTTTCTCTCAACTCTTGCTGGGAACCCGAGTGCTGTGGGTCTCGCTATCCAGTAACATAGTTACTGAGGCCTACACCAGTGCTCATTGATGGCGAGGCAGTGCCCAGTGATGAGATGCGTGCAATAGCAGAAATGTTGTCTGCTCTCCTCGAAGTGGGCACTTCTCCAAATTACTAGCCACTCTGGGCACCGTCTGATAGATTACTACCACGATCTGTAAAATCTCGTTGCCGTGCTGTCTAATTCCCTGGCCTCAAACACAAATAGTATGCGACTGGAAATGTATTATCCGAGTCTAGCATATTTCAACATGTTTGGTTACGTGATTTGGCGCCTGAATTATGCGAGTTGCAGTTGTGTTATATAATATACAATTTGCAGTAAATTATTCACGTCACCATGTAATGTCGAATTATTTAACGTGCTCACTTGTAGGGAAGCATAATCAACTGTGGTTCATTTACGGAGAGGGTGGCCCCTGCCATATCAACGTGGAATTTTACTTCTGGCTGCAGATCACCATGTGGAGTAACTGATTGGCGAATCTGCATACAGATTACTTTGATCATTGCCTTACAACTCACTTGGCTAATCTAGTCCTTGTGTTTGATTGATGTGAGTTACTATTTGTCCATCTGTATTTTATACATTATCACGCGTAATTTATCGCATATATTTATGGTTTGAATGTTTTGCTCTTTGCAATTCTTGTCAATAATTTGTTTTCCCTACTTAGGTAACTGTTTTATTTTGTAACCCAGGACTCCCTAAAAAATAAGTCTTGTCGTCTCCGTGTGCTCTTACCTGGTTTAGATATCCAATCGTCTCCCTGCCTGTAAAAGGAGATTTACAATATATATTGTTCCAGCTAAAACCCACCGGGCTTTTAGCTCCTTTTGAGGAGCTATCTGGACACAAATGATAGCCTAACAAAGTGGCTTATGTTGAAATTAATGCCAGCCAAATACTCTAAACGTATGTTTCTAAATACGTAGGGAAACACCGGAGGACCCAGAGAATAAATCCACGCGGCCACTGGGAGAACATGCAAACTCAAAATATACAACAGGCGTCTGGGTCGAGATCGAACCCAGGACTTCCTGCATACTAGACAAAGGAGATAACATCTCGCCACCGTGGCGACTCATTGCACATTGGAGTAGAGAGACACGCTTT